CACAACACACAATAACAGGTGTTTTTCACATGGTCTCTGTAGTCAAAATATTATTTGTTATTGTTGTAAAGATAACGAGATGAATCCTTTCCCATGAGAATGAAAATCCTGACAAAGTGTTATTAGCAGAGTGCAGGTTACTATTCTTTCCTCCAATTTCAAAACCAAATCTTCCAGTCTGGCTTCCCTAGCCACATTGTTAACTGAAATGCTGTTTTCCTATTGCACAATGTGCAGGCACCCATAAGTCTTTTTTTTTAATGTCCCATTTTTATTTGTTTGTTTATTTTTGAGGTGTTAGTGGTCTTGTAGCTGCTGTGAGATTTGGCATTCTTTCATGAGATTTCAGAAAATTGTATATGAGAATGTCAAGCTCTCAGAAGAATTCAGCCATTACAAATGCCTGAAAAAAGTTTTAATGAGATTTGCATGTGTCCTTGGATACAACTAGAGATGTTGCAGTCATGGAGAACCTGAAGAATGTCCAGAAAAGAGAACTGGAAAACAAACGATTCAAGAATGGTTGAAAGACCTCAGGACATATGCAACCACTGTTTACAAATATCCAAAGGGCTGTCATGGGAAAATGATGCTCCAGAAAATTGGATTTGATGTGTGGGTAGAGGTTTCAGGATGGTGGATTTCAGCATTTGAAGAAAAGCCCTTTTGTGTCCCTCACAGGTGAAGGAATGACACCAATGATCCAGTCGTGGTTGCACCCATGTGGAAATGGAATAGAACCAGCTCCTGCACAACCTCTTCAGGTATGAGAACAACTGTTAGATAGACAGGCCTGAAAGGATCCCTCTCAATAGTTTGATGGGACCAGTTATTAGAAACATTTCTAAGCTTTCTAGGAACATCTCAGCTTCACTTTATGAACATCAGAAGAACCCTGAAGTTGGGTTAGATCACTCTAGGCCAGCATTTTGTTTCTGGCTGGCTTGAGATGCTCCAGAGCAGGATGGGAAGGCAACAGCCATCTCCTGCTTTTGCATACACAGTGACATTCTCCTGAACATGGAGTATCTGTGTATCCATTTGTTGAAAAGCTGTTGGGAGCTTTTGTCTTCTGTAATTTGAAAACTAAGAGCTTGGCCGTAGTGGATCAGGCCAAGGCCCATAATTGTCCAACATTTTGCTTCTCACAGTGGCCAACTGGGTGTTTCTAGGGCGCTCACTCACAAGCAGAGGGAGACAGCCCCCTCTCTTGTGGTTATTCCCCTCTAACTGCAACCTGAAGCCTGTAGCCCCCAACCTGGAGGTAACGCTGAGTCTTCAGGACCAAGACTCTTTGATAGACCTGGCCTCCATGTGTTTATCCAATCCTCTTTCAAAGCTATCCAAGTTACTGGCTCTCACCATATCTTGTCAAAATGAATTCCACAGGTTAATTACATACTAATGTGTTAATCTCTCCTAAATTGCCTTCCAGACCACTTCACTGAGTGGCTCCTCTTGAGGAGGAGCACTGTACCCACTTGGGGTACAGAGTTCTGTTGTTTAAGGATGCCCAATATGAAGAAACCTCCTTTTTCCCCCACCTTTCATCACTGAGAAACGCAAAACACCTCATTCAGTCTAGCATACTCATGTGCTAGATTTATGTCCTGCCTTTCCTCTGGGATTTTAAGGTGACCCACATAATGCTCTCTCCTCCAGTTTTTCCCCACAACAACACAGCTCCAAGGAAGGTTTGACTGTGACAGTGGCTGGCCTTAAATGATCTAATATCAGACTTAATCCAGGCTCATACTGGAACTAGAAGGCTCACAGGCCAAGATTCAAGGACACAGCTCTGAAGAAGATAGCTTTAATATAGATCCTAGGCAAGCCATTAGTATGAAGAAAACCAGCAACTGTGAGACTCAGGTAGCAGATCCAAGGTTCAAATCCTATATCTCTTTCTCCCACCAGTACATCATAATGGTTGAGGGCAATTCATTTTAGGATGGGAAGAGTGATAGTCACCTCTGCATTTTTCCTGTAATGGTCCCATTACAATAGTCCTGGGCTCCTGCTTCTGACTTTACTGATCTAATCCTCATGGCTGGGGATGGGCTGAAACAGGCAGACCTCCAACTCTTGTCCAACTCCCCACAGGGTCAGTGGGAAGAGACGATGGGCGCTACAGGATGCCTACGCCTCTAGGCAGAACCTCTTTATTGTCCCCTTCTGAAAATAATTTTAAAAAGAATTTATGTCCTCTCCTTTTGTCCTTCAGGATCTGGTAACTTTTGAAGATGTGGCAGTCTACTTCACGGATGAGGAGTGGGCGTTGCTGGATCCAGACCAACAGGCCCTCCACGTGGAAGTGATGGAGGAGAACTGTGGGAATTTGGCTTGTCTGGGTAAACTGCCTACCTTTGGGGGCGTTGATAGGGCAGAGTACAAGGCCAAAAGGACTACTCTTTATTTCAGGATTTGTTCTGCTCATAGGAAAGTGGGGTTTTTGTAACCTGGCTGGGAAATCTTTTTTCTAGCAAGAGTCAGTAATCTCTGAAGACCTACATGATAGGCTGGGTGAAGCAAGCAGTGAGTGGTTTCAGATGCAGTAGTAGATTGGAAAACCTTATTTTCCTCCAATGCTTTCTCTCTTTCTGGCAGTCTTTTTCTCCCTTTCCCAAGCAAAAGGCTGCAGGGAAAGGACATTGGCTCTTCATCAAAGATCCCAAGACTCAGCGGCATCCATGGGAGGAGGGGGTATTGCAAGGGAGTCAGACTGATGAAAGCAAGTCACAATGCAAGTCCATCCCTTCTCTACCTGTGCCATGACATCGCCTGCCCGCCTAATGCCACAATGCTGTGTCTGTCATTCTAACGAAAATGGCAAGATCCTGTAGACACCGCTGTGGAGAGATCCCACCTGATCTCTCCACATTTGGCATTTGGAATTAGGCCAAGAAGCATGTGAAACGAGTCCCCGTCACTTTAAAACTGCAGGTTCCCCACCCTTACTTGAGAACAGTGTTTCTCAAACTTGGCTACTTTAAGATGTGTGGCCTTCAACTCCCAGAGTTCCCCAGCCAGTGTTGACAAGTTTGAGGAATACTGGTTTAGAGCAAGCTGCAAAAAGCATGGCTCAGTGTCTGCCTCCAGTTCAGTAGCACTCCTTTTCTAGCCTCTGCCCACCCCTGCACCCCAAAATTTCAGCCCTTTTTGACTTAATGAAGTTTGTGGCCAGAGGTGGATGTTAGAGGTGAAATTAGTGCTTAAGGCTTGCAGGGTAGATGGCACATTCTCGCCTGTTAAGCCACTTTGAGCCTGCCCACTTTTGGAATGTAGCTCTTGCAGCGCAAAACCTAGTGTGGACCACGAACTGATAGAAAAGGATCAGTAGTATAATGATGAGATGGACGAGACCCAATATGATGCAATGGTTAAAGCATCAGCTAGAATCCTGGTGACTGGGAGTTCTAGTCCTGCCTTGGGCATGAGGCCAGGTGTGTGACTTTGAGCCAGTCCCTCTCTCTCACTTCCAGGAAGAAGAAGGCAAGGGCAAATCACCTCTCAGTCTCTTCTCCAAATAAAACCCCAGATAATAATCTCTTATCATTCTCTTCCTATCTATTTTCAGAAAAGGTTTCAGAGATTTGCTATTTCCCTTCTCTATGTCCAAAATAGGATAATTCTCAAAGTCACTCTTCTGGTCCATTACAGCTTCTTCCTCCATATCG